GAGTAGCCGAGAACAGAGGGCAGGATTGAGACAGGGCATGAAGAAGACGTGGTCTCTGCCTGATAAACTACGCTCCAGCGTATTCCCTCACCGAGGGCACGTGTTACAGGACCTGGAAGCTACTTGAGTCTTGAGGAAACATGGCAAGAGGGACTTCTCACTCTCCTTGTTATCCATTTGCACCTGCCAGTGGCCAAGAGAGCCTGGGGAGGCCAGAAGAGGTGGGGAAAGGTGGGGTTACAACTGGCTCCAATTCCCCTTAGAGCTTCTCTTTTTAGCAACCTCCCGTTTCCTAGGGTGAACATGTTTTGGGAGGAAGGACACGAGGAAGATGTCTTACCAAACGGCCAAACTATGCCTAGGCTGCAAGTGTGCAAGTCCTCAAGGAGACAGAACCAACCCCAGAACAGTTCTGCCTGCAGGCTTATTCATACTACTGCTACTGTTATTATTATGACTGTTTTTGTCATTACTACTATTGTTATTATTATTATTGTTACTTTTTTTTTTTTTTTACAAATCACAAATATCTTGGTTTTGGGGTTGTTTTTTTTAATACGCTCTTTGCAGGCTACAGCAAAATGGGAAAGGAATGGCCTTGTTGTAATCACACCTGCTGCTTTGAAAGGGCAGAAATCACCTGGGTTATCTCATTATGTGTATGGGTTCCTGGGTGTCTGAAGCTGTTTGCCAACTAAAAATGTCAGGAGCGGTATTTGGGGGTGGGGGGAGTTTGCTTTCATTTGGGATCGTCGGGAGCCGTTCAAGACGGCTGCTCCACCACTTAATGGGTCCTCCAAGCAAAGAGGGCGTCAACACAGTAGAGCACAGTTGTCTATTGTAGGGAGATTCATGATTAAAAAAAACAAACCAGCAATCCTCAAAGCTTGAGCCTGAAGTTAACAACAGACCGTGCATTGTCCTCCAGGCGGGAGGAGCATAACCGTCATTGTCTACGAGCTCCAGTTTTAAAACAATTGGCAGCGGTAGCAGCGGCACAGACTGCAGGTGTTTTGTTCCCATTAGTACTCTTGAATGGAGAGGAACACTGGACTTGTGTTACTGGAAAGCTTGATCTGGGTACGTAGATAGGACAACGAAGGATTATTTCTCTCTCCAAGGAAAATATCCGTTGGAAGCAATAATATGATTGCAAAGGAAACAAAGATGAGCTCAGTCACAACAACCTGCACTCAGGAAATGTTAAAGGTCTTTCCTAAACCAACAACATGACAATTCAGGCAATTCAGAACCGAGGCTCAAAATCCTCCCTGACACCTGGGACACAAGGGGGTGATACCAGGACAGACTCGCTGCCTGGATTTTCCACCTTCATGCCGAATGCCTTTACTATGGTGGGCTTTAAACCGAAGCCAAAACCCCCAAGTCCCCGAAATGCATTTTAAAAATAAGCTTAATGGAATTAAATAATATGTTTGCATGTATGGACTGGATGCCAGGGAGAAGGTAGGATGAACCAATCAAATTTACCCTCCCATTTTTTCACAGGTAGCTTGATTCACCTGATGGATGAAAAATAGAGCCTATGAATATAAAAGCATTCAGACTGATACGGCATGGCATGTGTGGGGGAATGAAATGGGCTCTCAAGTAGTGGCCTTTGAGTTCAATCCACTTCAGTGACCACAGCATGGAAACAATAGCTGCCCAAGTTGAACACCGTACAGTAGCATTCGATATGAACCCAACCCAGGGCTTTGCCTTAGCAAGGGGTCTCTAAACCAGGGCCAACATTTTTACACTTGGCAACTAGGGCAAAATCCAGATGGATCCCTTAGACGATGCCACTTTGCCAATGCAGTGCCTAAAAACAAGGCCTCTGGCCCCAGCTGGGTGACTCGGGTAGACACTGCTAGGTACCGAGGCTCCGTGGAGAGAGTAAGGTGCCTCTGGAGGGTAATTTAGGCCACCAAGGCACTGCTGGGGGAGGTACCTAGAGCTAGAGACTACAATACACTAAGCCCTAAATCTGATGCACTTTCCTGCTGTGCTCCAGACCTATAGAATGCAATGGGTTTAATACATTTCTAGGGGTACCTCATAGGTCCTAAAAATAATTACTAGGGGAAATGAGAGAACTGAATAAACACGTTCCTATAATTTCTTTAACTCTCCTGGAGAATTCCCTTTAAACTCTCTAGCATTATTTCAGAAGGGCAGGGCGCTTACTATACATGTGCTGGCAAGGCGCTAATGTGCGTGCCTATGTTATATTGTGCAGGATGCGTGTGTGTGTCTGCACGTTGATGTGTGTGCACAGGGGTATACGTCTCTTGGTGCAGGGTTGTGCATACGTGCCTGTATATATGTCCTGCTGATGTGTATGGGGGGCTCGTTGTATATATGGTTCTAAGGCTGCATCACCTTTAAAGCCAGGATTTTAAAGCTGCATTTGTATGCATGCAAGTCTAGTCTGGCCCTTCATGTTATAAGGCATGTTTATGAGTGCATGCGTGTGCATATGTGTATCTCTGTGGCTACGGTGTGTGATTGCTTCAATCTGTCACTGGTCTCTGTTCACCGCGCTCTCTCTGTATTTATCCATGCATGGCAGAGGTCTATACAATCAGGAGGGGTGTGGAGCAAGTGAACAGGGCACGGTTATTTACCAAGCCCAAGAATACTACAACTAGGGGGCAACCATACAAATTAGCAGGAGACAGGTTCAAAACTAACAAGACAAAGTGCTGGTTTTTACACAGCATGTAGTTAAGGCGTGGAACTCATTGCCACAGGAGGTAGGTAGCAGAGCCAGGGTCTGAAAAGGACTAGACAAATGCATGGATGATGGACCTATTAATAGCTATTAAACAGAACAGTTGGAGATCTCTCTCAACTGATGCTAGAGGATACCAGGGAGGGTAATGAACAGAGGAGCACGCCCTAGATATACCCAGTTCAATGCTCTCCGTCTGCAGCAATGGTACTCAGTCTTTTGGCCCCTCCAGCCAGTTGAGTGGTGCTGGGCGGGTCCGTGAACTGGGTCTTGTGAAAGGTCAGCATGCAGGATTGGACCTCACGTGCCTAGATTAGGCCTCAGTCTGCCAGGATCGGGCTCTGTTGCCCCCAGGATCGGGCCCTGCATGCCCAGACCCCGCCGCCCTTTGTGTACCAGGATTGGGTCCCGCACACCAAGATCAGGCCCTACCGTTGCCTTGGGCCTCCGCTCCTGGATTGGGCCTTATGCCACCCCACCCAGTGCAGTGCCACGCTATCCACTCCGGGGCTGTTCATCAGAATCAGAAATTTGGCAGCTGGGGAGCAGCAATAAACACCGCCACCGCTTTCTGCCTCCCAGGTTTTGGACCCAGGGGAGCTCTGTGGGCTAGATGACATGGCTCTGTGGGCCAGATCCGGCCCACGGGCTGGGGGTTGGGGTTGAACCCCTGCTCTACAGCATCCACTTCTGCCACTGTTGGAGACAGGCGATGGGGCTAGACGGATCGTTGTTCTGCCCTGGCATGGCACCCCTGTTCCATGTGTCCGTGGCTAGCCTGCGGGTGGGTGTCTGCGTCCTGCTGTCTCTCTGTGTATACAACTCTACTGGCCTCTGTGTTTGTGGGGGTGTGAATATACGTCTCTGGCTGGGGACTGCCCATTTGCATTGCTGTATCTCTGCGTGCGTGTGTCTCTATGGCTACAAGGTATGCACAAGTCCCTGTATGTGTCTGTATCTGTGCATGTGCCTGTGTCTGTGTTGTGTTTGTGAGTGTCGCGTCTTGCTCTGTCTCCACCTGAGCCTGTCTTTCCCTGTGTCAGTGTGCATGCACATATCTCTGTGGCTTGGGTCTATTGTGTGAATTTGTGTGTGCCTCAACCATGTATAACCATGATAACCATGTATGCATGAATCCCTGTGTATCTGCATGTGTGTCTGGCAGCACAGCTCTGCACAGCTCTGTGCTTGTGTGTGCCTGTATATTTCTGTGGCTCATTTGTGGAGGGGGGAGATGTATATGTGCCTAGGTGTGTGTGCACATGTTAATGCCTCTGTGTGTGTGGATGTGAGCGTGTGTCTGTGTGCATGTGTATACATGTGAACATCTGTGCTTATGTGCATGTGTATGTATGTGTGTGCATGTGAGCATCATTGTGTGCATATATGCATGTGTGTATGTGTGTACATGTGAGCATCATTATGTGTACGTGCATGTGAGTGTGTGCGCATGAGTAGTGCTGTGTGCATATGTGCATGTCAGTGTGTGTGTGTGTGCATGTGAACATCATTGTATGTGTTTGTGCATGTGTGTATGTGTGCATGTGAACATTATTGTATGTGCATGTGTGTATGTTTGTATGTGACCATCATTGTATATGTGCATGTGAGCATCACTGTGCATATATGCATGTGAGTGTATGTGTGTGCATGTGAGCATCACTGTGTGTGTATGTGCATGTATGTGTGTGTATGTAAGCATCATTGTGTGTGTTTGTACATGCAAGTGTGCATGTGGGCGTGCATGTGACCATGATTGCATGTGCATGTGTGTATGCTTGTATGTGTGAATATGGTTGTGTGTGTATGTGCATGTGAGTGTGTGCATAAGAGCATCATCGTGTGTGTTTGTACATGCAAGTGTGCATGTGGGCGTGCATGTGACCATGATCGTATGTGCATGTGCGTATGCTTGTATGTGGGAACATGGTTGTGCGTGTATGTGCATGCGAGTGTGTGCATGCGAGCATCATCGCGTGTGTTTGTACATGCAAGTGTGCATGTGGGCGTGCATGTGACCATGATCGTATGTGCATGTGCGTATGCTTGTATGTGGGAACATGGTTGTGCGTGTATGTGCATGCGAGTGTGTGCATGCGAGCATCATCGCGTGTGTTTGTACATGCAAGTGTGCATGTGGGCGTGCATGTGACCATGATCGTATGTGCATGCGCCTGTGTGCACGCGCCACGTGCCCGTCCACCTACACGTGTGTGCACCTAAACGTCTCCGTGTGCCCGCAGCCCCCGCGCGTGCAAGCCCGGGCCCCCGGCCCCCGCTCCTCCGGGAGGCTGCTCGGGGGGCAGGGGCCGGCCCTGAGCGCGGCTCCTCCCTTGCCGCGGAGCCCCGGGCTGGAGAGAATTACAAGGGAAAAAAAGAAAAAAATCCCCCAGGAAGAAAGCGAGGGAGACGCAGCCAAGCCTCCCCCACGGCCTCCCTCCCATTGGCTGCCCTTCCCTTTGTGTGCCAGGCAGCTGCAGCCCCAGCTCCACATTTGAATGTATATAGGGGATTGGAAGGGACCATTTCCATGGGCCATCTGTCTCGCAGCCAGCAGCAGCCGCCGCTCCAGCCGGAGCCGCCCCACGCGCACCTCCAGCGCCGAGCCGCCGCGCAACAAAGGCGCCGCAGCCGCAGGAGCCGCAGCCGGAGCCGGAGCCGGAGCCGCAGCCGGAGCAGGCGCCGCAGCGGGCAGGATGGTACTTGTGCACGTCGGCTATCTTGTTCTTCCAGTGTTTGGCTCTGTACGAAACAGAGGTATCGCTTTATCCTTCGGGGCTCTTTATTCTGGTGTTGCAATGCACAGTGCTTGATGCTGGTGATGGGGGGTGGTGTTTTTAGGGGGGTTTGGGTGGGTTTTTTTTGAATGCTGAATTGTCGCGTCTACTTTTTCCTTGAGGAGGAGGGTGGAAAAGACAGACAGACAGAAACCAAGCGGTGGATGATGTGAGATCCTTCCTTTAACTGCCCGGATAACCAAAATCAGCTTCTTCCTTCTCCTCCCCCCCCCCCCCCCCCCCCACCCCCCCCTTTTTCCCCCGACAAAATCAAATCTGGGGGTAAAATTTTTTTTTAAAAAAAAGCAAAAAAAAAAAAAAAAAGATAATAATAAAGCAGAGCTGTGTCCTGGTCAAGGTGCTGGAAGGATTTTTGATTTGGTGCCTCTGGACGGTAGGGAGAGAGAGATACAGAGATATGGATACATCTCTATACATTTGGCATCTGCTCTGTTTAACCATCGATTTGTGCTTTTAATATTTATTCCCCGGCGGAGATAGATCCCTCCATAGCTTATCTCTGCCCTCCCCCCACTCCCTTGCGGACTGAGAGCACGTTCAGCCTTCTTAAAGCTTTTTTTGTCCCTTGCTGTTTCTTCTGTAATGGACTAAAATAGCGGCGGGATTAGCAGACTGTTTTTAGGGTGGCTTTTTTTTCCTCCCCCCCATCTCTTGTTGGACAATTTCCCCCTCCCCGTAATTTTTCCTCCTCTGTTGGGATTCAAACTGTTGGTAATGCTGACTCCGGAGAGCGCATCCATTCACCGCCGCGCCGTGCTCCATGGTGCGCTTATGGCTCAGAGACATTAGAAAAAAAAGAAAGCATCAGCTTAATTCTTTTTTTTACAGAGATTTAATATGGGATGTGTATGGCCATTGCATATTTTTTTTTTCCACCTTCCCTCGGTCCCACCCACCACCCCACATTCTGCTACGAACAATGGACTTGAACCTTTTTAGTTTTTGGTTGTTTTTTTTTCCCCCCCTTTCATTCCTTCCATTTTCTTCCTCTCCCCAAATCAGGATGCATTTAGATTCATTATTAATTTGAAATCAGCTGCAATCTCCTTGCATTTCTTTTCCATGGAAATGTTTCCCCAGCCCCTCCCCCCTCCCCCCCCCACTGGCCTATTGTTGGTCATATCCCTAGAGTCTAAC